CCCCCTTCCCCCCCCCCCCCCCCCCGATCCGCCCCCCTCTTACCGCAGCCTATCCCAGAGTGCTCGGGGTCATCAAACTGGCCTATGCAAGGAGAACGGGCCGCCCATTGCTGCGAAACCGGTCTCCACAAGTCGGATTGGCAGTCGCCGACGGTCGACATCACAGCACAATTGGCGGGGCCAAAAACGTAAACCTGTTGTGGCGGTGGTGGTTGTAGGTTACCCGATCGGGTTAGATCCGCCATGTTCACGCACGAATGAAGGCAAAGACGTACAATTGTAGATGGAAGCAACCATGATTGTTTTGTGAAGACTGAAAAGCCGGCATGACCGTGTATTGTAGTGTAAGAGAACAGGCGCACGTTGGAAGGATTATAGCCTTGTCTCTAGCGGGGCTAGCGGGCGGAACGGGGTCACGAGCACCGACAGTTTTCAGCCAAAAGACAGACGGTATACGACATGATGAATGGTGTAGTCTAGCCAGCCGCAAGGGAAATCGAACTGGCTTGATGAAGTGGTGCGAAGGAGGACGGAAAAGGTCTTCTAAGCACGTCTTCGACCTAACCCAAGGAACGAAAGTTAGACCGACAATGTCTCCTTTACATTCGGTACCCATTATTCTTGATGCGACAGATGGTATGACGAGACTCCGCGCAGTGCGACAGCTGTATTCCGAGCGTTCTTGAGAGCGCTTGATCCGTGAGTACTCTTGAAGGAGTGCTGAAACACTCTTGTCTCTTTGAAGTTGACATGCACCGCAGCGGGATTTGTTTGTGTGAGACCCGGATAGAAACCCACCCCATCCTCCGGCCAACAAGGGGCGGAATGACTCCAAGGTAAGGAAACAAATTGGTGGATAAACACCCGCGCCTTACCGTGATCTCGAGTGACAAGCTGTACAAATCTATCCATCGAGCCCACACACCTCAAAGGGACTTCCGGGAACACCTAGAGCGTCCCTCTCCACGAACAGGAATGTAGTTGCAGCGTCTCCCAGGGTGTCCGACACGACGCGGTACGACCCGTTACCGGTGTCGTGTACGGTGGCGGCCGAAACGTTGTCGCCGACGCCGCCCGCGTAGGTCCAGGCCTGGAAGGCGTTGTCCCCCCACTGCTCGGTGATGCTATTGCCGTAGAAATCCCGTGCTGTCAAGGACGCAACTACGGAAGACCCCTCGGGGGCGGAGCTTGGAGGGCGCCCAGTCACTGAAAACATGGGGGGCGGGGGGCGAGGACATAATCGTTATTGCCTTGCGTGTACTCGCCTCTTTCTTGTTTCAGGGGGGCAGAATGAGTTGGGAAGTATGTGGGCTTCGAGAAGTATGGCATCATTTGTTTTGCTCAATGGCGACGGCCGTCACTGCTTGAGGTGTTGATGTCTCCAAAAATCCAGGTAGCATTGAATGGCCACACGCGCACGTGGCCCAGCTTGCGAATCGATAAACGCTTCACGCAACTAAAAAAGAGTCAAATATCGGCACAAGTGCTGGACCCGGCTGACCCACCTTCACAAGCTGGCGCGTACGGAGCTGCAGCGACCACGGTAATGTTCATCGACGCCAGGCGCGCGCCGCTAGCAAGGTACACCTGGACACCAGGGGTGCGAAGAAAGTGTCCCAGCAAGGGAGGAGGCCCCATGTACGTTATCCGATCAGAGGGGGTAGGACAGAAGCGCACGCCCACTGCGGTGAAAGAGGAACATTGGGTACGTTGTAAACGAGGCGTTTTCCATGCTTGTACATAGTGTCCGCGTACTTTCACCAAAAGACAAAATCACTTGCAAACTTGCACACCACACGCAATACTTCATTGCAGCACAGGAATATCAGAAATCAGAACAAGCAAGCGTGATACCAACCACTGAAGAGAATGATTCATCAACAGGGGGTAGGAAACCTTACGTTGATGAAATGTTCTCCCGTGTATGCGAAGCGAAGGGAGAGCCTCGTTTCCTCGTGGGATACATTGAGGGAACGTCCGTCGAAGTATATCCAGGCCCCCACATCTTCGATGTTGGCCGAGAACTCGTCCGAGCGAACCCTTTGAGGATGAAGCACGGCAGGAGCAAACGACAGAGGAAGGAACGGACGGTTCCTGTGAAGTCGGCGGCTCGGTAGCACTGACGATGAACACAAATAATCTTGAAGCTTTCAGGGCGAGCAGAGAGAAACCTGCTATTTTATTAGTGCAGCGTCCGTCCCTCAAAGTAGCAGTATTGCAAACCCCCTTTTGGGCTGAACTCTCGCTGGTTTCTATCTTCTGTTCGAGCCATAACAAACACATTTTTTTGCACGGGCTTCCCACTAGTAGCAAAGCCGAGCTCCATGGCCCAACTCATTCGCAGTCAGAGCGCATTGCATACACGAGTCTTACTGTAGATCGATGCCGTCGCCGAGGTCGCATAGCTCCCCCTGCTCCGGGATCGCCGTTATCAACACGTCGGATGTCGTCGTAACCTGTCGGTGAATATCGATAAGTCGCACCAAAGAAACAGACAAAAAGAAGGGTGTTTTTTTTCCAGGCTAGATGTAAAACAGACTGTATTCTATGAACATCAGCGCGTAATGTGCGAGTCATTCTACACGTCCTTTATTTCGCCAGCACGATAGGGCTTGCCACAAACAACTTTTACGCATATACTTTCGCGGCGAACATTCTGCATCGCGTGGATGTTGGAATGCTGTGCCTAGCCCAGCCACATGGTCGATCTGGTGGAACCCACGCCATTCATTTGAGCCTTCAGCATGCTCCACGACTGGAAACCCGTTGTGGCACGCGAACGTATCAGTCAAAGTTGTATGTGTTTCCCTCGCTTGGCTGCGCTTTTGCGGATACGGTGCAGTCGGTGTCGGTATATTGTCGATATATTGTCTCAAAAACAATGAACGGCATCGAGCGCGCACCCTACTGTTATCATACAACCCCATCGCTCTCTTCCAAGCGCCGTGCCCAAAAGGAAACATATTCCGTCGGCGAAACGTAGCCAGCAATTTCTATGGACTTTTTCTCTGCGTGTGTTGTATGGACACCGAGAACACCGATCGAGACAACCGGTAGACCAACGAAACCAACGGCGATACTGTATGCACAAGAGGTGGCTTCACCTCCTCACTGCGTGCGGATATCAAACTGACGGCTTCAACCCACCGTGGTCGAGTCAAGCGGTTGCACCGTGACCCCGCAGGTGTAAAAGTTCGTGACCATTGCGTACTTGTACTGCTCGCTAATTCCGAACCACAGCGACCCGTTGCCGGCGGTGGAGAGGTACATCTCGAACCTCCCGTAGGTGTAGGGTCGGAGAGTCGGCGTGTTCTGAAAGGCTGAAAGCTGAGGGTCGGGGTCGGAAGAGCACACAAATGTCTGCCCCAGCTCGACAGTTCGTCCGAAGTAGAACCAGCACCTGGCTCCGGTGCGGGAAACACGGGAGGGGGGTTCGGTGAGCGTGTGCGTGTAAACGACACGTACGTTCGTCGTCGTTAGAAATTGAACCAGAAGGTCGTCCAGTGGTGCGGTACCGGAAAATAACGCTGCAGTTTAAAGCGGCAGGGGGTACGGTTGAAGAATACCTTACCCGATACGAAAGTTCATGCCGGGAAAACGAGATACTGACGCTCCCCTCGCGGTGAAACCCAGATGCGATGGCCATGAAAGACGAGTGCACCAGGCTACGATCTCCAGGTGACTGTCGGCACAACCACCTTTTCCACCAGCGGGTAGCGCCTCCGTCATGGGTGGGCTACAATCGGCTTATTTTCTTGGTGGGCATGATACTCACAGAACGACAACAGTATCCAAGGTTTTTCCTGAAGATCAATTTAATGTGGAATTCTGAACGGGTTCGCAAGGATGGCAACATATCACCGGTGGCGTTGGACCCCCTCCCTCTGCCCCCCCCCAATTGTGTCATCACAGATACGTCCCAATGACTTGTTTTGGCCGGGGTTAATGATTTTAATAGGTGATTCGCCCAAGCCTCCTCCTCTGAGAGTTGCACGAGGTACGTATTTCGGTATTTTCCTAGCCTAGGACATCAGCACATTTATGACGACACGAACGGTGTTTTGGGTTTGGTCCCTGTGTACGACACCAACGCACGAGTACACGACGGCACATTTTGCAGAAGCATTAATTCTACATTAGGTCGACGCGATGCAAGAAAAATAATGCCAAGCTGTTTTCGTGTTGCTTAACGAACAGGTCACGAAAGCAGCACCAAGCATTTCGTTTGATTTGTTCCCGTTGAGTGGTACCACAACCGTCAAACAGCCCACAGGCTCCGATATATATCTTCACCTTTCTTCATATGCATCGTTTGCTTCGTCAGAAGTCAGACTATTGGCGTCCTCAAGCGTAAGAGATGGATCCACACCCCCAAGGACCCATCCCCAGTCGCCCGAAAACGCCTCCCGAGAAGCGAGGTTAAATCGCACTGAAATAACGTCACCAATGTTGGTGCTCTCAACCTGCGTATCGTTGGGGAACGCGGAACGAGAGTAAGGAAACCGAATAGGTGGTGCAGCGGGGTCACACCCACTAAGTGGTAAATACGTCTTGCTGCCTTTCATGGAAGCAGCTCACGCTGTCTACGGAACACGACCTACTGTAGATTACCTGGATAAAGCACATGTGTAACTACCAGTATATGTCAGGGAGGGTGGTGCACTACACGTGGTTGTAGATCGACGGTTGTTGCACCACATGTGTCGATAGATCCGAGCGCCTTGATCCGACTTTGATTTCTCTTCGCTCACCAGATAACGGCATCTCCTTTCGACCAACATCTACCCAACATCTACCACTTCGCCAATTTGACACATCTTGGGGTGTCACCTCTTGGGCTTGGAATAGGTGAGGGCTGCTGACAGATCACATGGAGTGGCGACAGAACACGTGGATTGGTGCTTCACAAAGAAAGGTCCTAGACACCTGTTTCATACTCGGGCTGCGCAATCTATTGACATGGCGGCAGTAATCGAGTCTGAGGCGCTCGGGGTCGTCGAGGCGTTGAAGATTTTTCTGCAGGCCTCCTTTACGACCTCCGGAAGGATGTCTCGGAGCACAACGTTGGTGCGGTACCCGAAACATGACCTCTGACAATCGTGACCCTCCCAACCTTGGAACCTCAAAAGGCTCATTTCGGTCGAGCAATTGTCCGTGTTAGCCTCAACAGAGTCACATCGTTTTTCTTCCCGTACCGCAAGAACAGCATATCCCGTTCTGTTAACACCGCTTCTTTAGTTTGAGTGCAACGATGCGCATACAAAGCAGTGGACATGTGGACATGTAGAGCTCGTCGACTGTCGGTTCCGGTCCGTCCAGCACCCGTAACTTATACTGTAACATACATATCGCACAAATGGCGGTGTCTTCATTTCGCAGCAGGAGAGCATTTGGTATTAACAGAGAACACAGCCCGACACACACAGCCCCACAGGGTGGTTCAGAACTACAGAGGCAGTATCAATAAAGCACAGTACGTTTGTTGTGTGCTTTCCGAACCATTTCTCGAATGTTGTACGTTTCAACGGCAGTTGTCTAAACTCCCTGCACACCCGTGCAACTGACTAAAAAATACAACGAATAGTGGGGTAAAGTTCCAACTATCCCGTTTTTATTGGAATCAACTAGTCGCCCAAATATTGAGCCGGTACTTGATTGGAAACAATTAGTCCCCCAAGATTGTTAGTCAGTAGGTTGATTGGAATCAACTAGTTACCCAAGGTTTTCAGTCAGTAGTTGATTGGAATCAACTAGTTGCACAAGATTCTGACAGAGTAGTTGTTTTGGCAAACAAGTAGTGCAGCATTTTTTTCAGCACTGTCTGTCTCATCTTGGTAGCTATGGGCGCCTCGCAGTACTAGCGGGAACAAATCACGACCTTTTTCACACTTTTTGTGGAGCCTTTGGCAATAACAATTTAAAAGTTGTTCGTACAGCTTTTATCCAGTAGTAGATTCGAAACAACTACTACATCGTTGCGCAAGATTCTGGCGGACCAGTTGTTGTTTGGAAACAACTTGCAAAATATTCTGACCGAGTTGTTCTTTGGAAACACCTGTAGTTGCACAAGAATCTGACCAAATGGAGGAATCAACTAATGTAGTCTATGTAGTCACTCACACATAGTCACCAAGATTCCGAATCGTACATAGTACGTAGTAGGTGATTGGCCAAGTACAACTTAAGTAAGTTGTAGGGTGCAATGTGGGACACCAGCCCTAATACTGCATGTTTGTAAATCGCCACTAGATTACACTAGTGAACCGTTTGACTGGCATCGCTGACGAGGAATTTACAGCAATGGTAGACTGCGTATGCAAAGTAGTATGCATGCATGTACTTGCCTCAAGGAAGTTGTAAGGAGGCTGAAATATTGTGACGTCCACGCACTCCTCTGTTGAACACGTTTCATCATCGCCGTCGTCACCATCACCACCATCAACAACAAGCAGGCAAGCGGTGTAGAACCCTGGCTCGCTTAGCAGCACTGACGCCTGCCCAACCCCGGAAGTGAGAGTTGTCGCCTCGGGCCTGTTTTGGTCTAGAGAAGCAGTGTACCACCACGTGTTTCCATCGGCCAGGTCAACGGAAATAAGAGCTCTATTTTCATCCGTGTTGAAAGCGTCCTGAGAGTGAGAGTCGAAAGCATCCTCTCGGAAGGTGCATGTGTCACCCGCGTCCCCGCCTATGAGTGGAGAGTAAGAAGACGTCGTGGACGAAGGAGGAGAATTTGCCCGGGAGATACCATTGTCTGATTCCCACCATAAGGATGTCGTCGCCTCCTCGTCCCAGGTGAAAACGATTACATGGCTGGCACTCTGCCGAGAGTCCGGGATTTCCCACGAAATATTGGTGAGCGTTCGGGCATGCCATGAAACCACGGACAAGAGCTCGCCGTCATACGTCGCACTTGAATTGCTGGTTTGGGGATCTACAGCGAACACTTGCACCCTGGCGAACGGTAGCTGCAGCAGCACCAACACCTTCAGCAAACGTCCAAAGAGCTGAAACAACATCCTGTATGCGATCGCACCCGCGCATCCCAATACACCCGTTCAGAATTGGGTGTGCTTTCAAGGTTCCGGGAGTCCACGTGTATCGCGGGTGTCGAAGCGACGCGTGGAGAATGGCTTGCACACGTACTACTAAAGGCACCGTACATCATGATACAAAGGCACGCCTCACCTAACGGTCGGCCGTTTCAAATGCGGTGCAACCACCGATGCTTCGGGAAAAAGAGAGAACCACATGGGGTATGCTCTGCATTTTCAAAAAATCTCTTCACGGCGCCCCTCGTCCTGGTTCTTGAGCGATTCTTGTGCGATGTGGATGTTGCACGTGCAGTGGCAGTGGGCTTGGGCGGGCAATGAGGTGCTGAGCGACAGCAACAGAGTGGCATCCATGAAGAATATAGACTGCACCGAATCGAGCAGCGTTCCCCGATTGTTGTCGCTTCTGGTTGCCTCGGTGGAGGAGGCCTCACAGGCGTGTTCTTCTCCATCCTGGGGAGGGGAGTATCACCCTCCCGAGAACACTCGGTCAGCAATAGCAACATGCTCGTCGAGTCTCCGAAAACGGGGTTTGCGGCGGGCCTACAACATCCTCCTTTTTGGTGGTCCGAGTCACGCCGAGATCTTAGCCCAAGCAGCCCTTGAGGACAGCAACCACTACTGCTGTGACAACTTCGACGCGGGCCCGTCCGTTGCTGCTGCTGTCTCGGCCGTATCTCTCGAGCTTCGCCGAGCTCGGAGGTACGACCCAGCGAACGCGCTCGAAGGTCTTGTGGAAGACTTACTTGCATCTAATGGGCGTGATGAACGACAGCGAGAAGATGCAGACGGTTGTTCAAGTGTCGTGGCAAATGTTCTGAGGCTTCTCTTGGCCCTTCGGGGGGAAGGACGACGGGCTTCGGATGTCGACGATTGGGAGTTTTTGGGAGGGCTCAGTCGCCGGGTATTGGAACGGTTGTACAGCACCAGCACCAGCACCACCGGTGGTGAGGCAGGACAGCCGGATCAACAGGAGGAGAAAAAAAATGCTACGACTAGAAGCCTTCCGGTGGCGATGTTCTTTCGCGGCGAACAACGGGGCCATCCGTCTGACCATCGCGCAGAGGCGGTGGGTTTGGGCTCCTGCACATCTGAGGCAGCGGCAGGATGTCGTGCTGAGGGCCTTGGTAAGGCAGACGGACCTGCTCTGGCGACAAAGGCAGCATCCTTGGGCGTGCGGCAGCAGCAGCATCAATATCTTCTGCCCGACGACTGCGTGCTACACGGAGACAGTACCGCCACCCCCGCCGCCACCACGCTGTCCTCTTCCCTGCATTCCTCGTCCGACACGGCCAAGCATGGCGTCGTTGGCGCGATTGAGCGCATACCCTGGTTCACGGACGCCGAATTTTCCTCAGAAAGAGGCATTCTCGACATGAACAAGGGACCGTCCCTGGACGAGGGCCTGGAGCTTATGGCAACCGCGCCGCTCTCACCAGCCAACTGGACCAGATTGTGCGAGAGCTCCGCTACTGCTGGGGACGACACAGTAGTAGCCCATGGTTCTGGGGGGGCTCCTGCCGCCCCGGTGATGGCGGTGGAACATGTGGAAGGCAATGGGGTTAGAAGACTGAACCTTTCCATGCCGGTGGTAGCTGCTAGTCAAGTTAATGGTGGGGCACCATTGGTGCATGGCGGCCTCGACCTCTGTGGGGCTCTTAGTCAAGCCAATATAGACGCGCGATCTCCTGCCGTTAGAGAACTCCGACTCGCGCTTTCCTTTCCCGACCTTGAAGAGGGCCTCCCGACGGATCTTTTGGAAGCCGCGAAGCTGCATAAGCCCCCTCGACGACCAGCCGACCACCCCGTGGGCGACGGGTATCAACACGGGCTCCCGGAGAGGACTATTGGCAAAGAGGCTAACGTTTTATGGCAGAGTCCCCGCGGAGTGCTACGCTCACCGAAGGGGAAGTGCGGCAGGATGTTACCGATCGACGAATTTGCACCACCCTGGGGAAGCGAAAACGGTGGTCACCTTTCGGGAGTGATTCATGATGCGGCAAATCATGAAGTTGCTGCGCTCGAGCTGGAGCCGGTCGGGTGGGAGCGGACAGAAGCCGATTGGAACGACCCCTCGTTCCCGAAGTGGGCGCTCGCGTGTGCCCCCCTCGTCACGGGCGAGGGCGGCGGACCTAGCTCGAAAAGGGCGTTCGAGTTGTGCTATCGCGAACACTTCGAGTGGGCTGGGTTGGGCGGCTCCTTGGGAGAAGCAGACACTACGGCCAAGGCCGAGGTGGAGGTGGTACGCCGGGCACTCGCGGCCTTGCAAGGAGTGCCATCCGGGTACTTTTGGTACGACGAGACTCACGCACAAATGCGCGTGTGCGGGCACGTTGGGCAGGACGGAGCAGTAGAGGAGGCGCCATTGATGCCGCCGCGGGTAGCTGGTCTCTCTCCCGGCGCGCTCTCGTCGCTACTGGAGGAGTTCGCGATGGCCGGGACTTGGTATCGCAGGGTGCAAGAATTTGTCCGTTGTCTCGTGAACACACCATCCTCAAACGGACAGGTAGCGCGCGCGTTCGGGATTGAATTGAGGCGGCAGCTGACCGAGGTCCAGTCCGCCCTGCTTGGAGTCACGATGGAGCTCGAGGGCCTTGGGTGGAATGACTCTGACTCGGCCTGCCTCCACGGCACCCAGGATACACCGCTCAATGAACAACGCTGCTGCTCTTTGGCCGGGATCCTCGCCCACACCACCCAACTCCGACGAGCAGTGGGAGCGCTCGCAGAGATCTGCGGCCTTTCTGAGGACGATCTGCGGTCTGCCGGGGGCGTGAGGGCTGTGTTCAACGCGTTCCCTCGAGGGTCTTCCCTGCTGACATATCTCTACAAGGCTGCAGAGGTCAGGGTGGCGTCGAAGCCCGGGGGGGAGAGTACCTGCTTTTTCGAGAGGGTGATGGCAGAGGGGGATTCCGCCCTTGCGCTGTTGAGCAGTGCCGCGACGCCGTACTTGTCTATGTTGGGCCGATGGATTTGGTCTGGAGAGATGTGGGCAGAGGATGACCCTTGCGAGGAATTTCCTCTGCGCTGCCGAGAGAGACTGACAGGTAGCGACACCTCGAAGGCGACCAAGGAACCTTGGACGGAGGACGGTGGCGGTAGCTTCATGAGCCTTGCTTTCTGTGAGAACGGAGCGGCCGGTGTTCCCTGCTTCCTCGCAGGGGGCGTGTTGCATGCCGCCGCCCGGACCGGAAAACTTTTGCGCATGCTGAAGGTTCGTTTTTTTTTTCTTCGTTTTTTTTTTCGTTTCGTGCAAACGCAGGTGATGTACTCTGGAGAGATGAGAAAAAACCGTTCTCGAAGTATCCATGTCCGTTCTTGCGGTAAATATCTTTCCGGCTGTCTGCGAAAGACCTACCTTTGTTTGACGACGCTCGTGAGTGTGCCACCCCAACAGCCACAAGGTGCATACTTGGCCATTCCCACAACGCAACCCCCCCGCCCTTTACCTTTTCTGTCGCCGGCAGCTCTCAAGCCTGGAGTTTTACACTGCTTGTTCGGCTTCACCTCCGCCGCCGCTCTCGCTGGTTTTCGGATCGCGTGCTCTGGCATCCCGTGTGACAATTTTCGAGCGCCTAAGGCTGCTGCGAGCAGCGGCGGGGCTGTCAGCCGCGCGCGAGATTCGAGCACGCGCTGCGGAAAAAGAGATGAAGACGGGAATGACACGTGGGGGTGGGAGCGAACAGTTACTGGCGGAAGAGAGGTCGGCTCTCGGGAAGCTCCAGGTACGCAGGGCTTTTTGTCTTGGAGTGGTGGGGAGAACGCACGACGTTGTCATTTTCTACCAGCCCCGGAGCAGGGCCGTGAGACTGTTAACACATTTGTGTATTGTCTGTTATGTTCGTTAAGGTTCGCTGGGCTGTTCGAGTCAAGAACACGTCACTGTTGTGAGCCGTTGAGCTTGGGAAACGTCATACCGCAGCGTGCAGTTGGTCGTGCTGCCTGATTTTATGTTCATCTTGCATCCTCCCTTGAAGACAGTTTTTCTCTCATAAGCCCACTCCGGAGGGATCCCTTGTACCGTGTAGGGGATTGGTATGTTTTCGGTGGCGGTTCGTTCTGTTCTCTTGAGGAATCATCGGGAATACTCTATTTTAGCACGATCTATCGTGAGTCAACGAGACGTTTATACCTTTCGAGCACTTCTTTCGGTGAAGTTTTGTCATCTTTGGTAGGTCCCGGGGCGATGCTGTACAGTGTGGGAGGTGGTTCGTTTTCGGCTGTTGCTCGTTCTGTTCTTTGGAGGAGCATGCAAACATTTCCTAGTATCGCTGTGGGCTGGTGAGATGTTAGACCCGTATCTGGCACGCACAGTACTGCCTGCCACGAATCCCTATGTGATTTATTCCCCAACGTGGAAGAATGGAGTCTGCATCGTTGTTGTGGCAGAGAAAAGAAAGATGGCTTGACACGTTTGGATGTCGTTCTGCAGGAAATGTCGTCCGAGATAAAGCCTAGACGTTCGCCTCCTCAAACTTCGACGCAAATCAGCCCACTGGAGCACTTCCCCACAATTTTCAGCTTCGGACATAATTTTTTAGTCAAGGACCAAAAATATACCATCCACGCCTTTGCACTGTATTCATCACAGCTGCAACGAGAACGAGACTATGCATCCGTCAAAGAGGCTCGACGAATCTGGGTTCAGGGCCTCGAGGGAGATCGCGCCGCCGCCGCCGCCGCCGCCGCCGCCGCCGCCGCCGCTGCCGCTGCTGCCGTCGCTGCTGCCAACGTCACTGCTGCCGCGACCGCAGCCGAGAAGCGGCCCCCAGCGGCAGTCTATGGCGGACAAGGAGTGTTGTCCTTCCTCGACCCCCCGACATCCGAGGCCGAAGCGTTTGCCGCAGCGGCCATCACGGAGAGGTACCGCGTTCTGGGAAAAGAGGCCGACGCCCGCGCGGCGCGAGCTCGTTGGAAGCGGCAGCGAAGCGCGCGGGTAGTGGCGGCCCGCGCCTCTCTGAAAATGCTCTACGAGGAAGAAATGCACCGGTGGGAGGGAATGGCAGCAGGAGCAGGGCCAGGGACGGAGAGCCACAGCACTACTGCCGGGCACGAAGCAGGTGTTAGCGACGCAGACAACGCAGACAACACCCTTCACGGTGTTGAAGCGAGCTCGGCGGACGCCGTTGGTGGGGGCCCCGACAGCAGCGATGGGACCGGTGGCGGACAGATGGGTCACGTAGTCGAGCAAGCGGTAGCTGAGGGCGAGCTCAACGCCGACAGTGATGGAAGTAGGGTCGAGGTTCGGGCAGAGGAAGAGGTGGGCACAATCAAGCGCGGAAGAGACTCTGAAGGCTCTGGAGCGCCGGACAAGCGCCCAGGGGGCGATGATGCTAACATCTCGCCCGTGGGTATCTTGGACGCGCCAAGCGGGCATATGGCAGGCGTGGCTGAAGCGGTTGGCAGCGAGGGGAACGAAGCTCAAGGAATGAAGTTCTCGCACGTGACCATCGTGCAAGAACCCGGGGGAAAGTCTCACGGAGTGTCAGGAGCGTTCGCGGCGAACATCGACGGCGGTGGCGATGACGCAACGACGTCGGGCCCCCTGCCTGGAAGGTCTGGCGTGAGAAGAATCGTCCAGGAGCCTGGCGGCAGCTCAAGTGCCGTCTCGCGCATCCTGAGCCATGATTCTGCTGACGGCGTCGACAAGGCGCCGAGAGCCGGACGCATCGCTGAGGGAGAAGACAGCAGAGAGCGTGACAACGACAACAACGACGGTGAGCACGTCTCGAGGGCCACCGCCCGAGAATCCGGCCAGAGTGCTGTCGGTGGTTCGCTTGCCGTGGAAGACGACGCGCCGATGGCGGTGGGGAAGTTGGGAGGTGATACCGAAAGCCGCAGCGGTACCCGGGAGGCGTTGATAGACCCGCCGACTTTCGGAGACCGGACAGATCCCAACGCTGCCGATTTAAGACCAGAGGCTGTGAAGGGTGGCGCTATAGCAGAAAAACCAGACCGAGAAGGAGCCAAAGACAAGCGCCCTAACGACAGTTGGAGCCTATTTCCGGAAGCACACAACAGGGGAAACGGTGCGTTGGACTTGGGGACGGATGGGGATGCTCCCCTTCCGCTGGAGGTCATCGTGCGCAGATGCGTGAGAGAGCCCGTGTTGGCCCAGTGCAGCGCGGTAGATTCGGCGGCGCTGGCGTTTCTGGTGCGAGATGCGGGTGTGGCGGAGCACCTGGCCTCCTTGCGAACGTTCTTGCTTGGGCTCGCGTCCGACTTTCTCCATGATTTTACCCTGCGGTTACTGGATGGGCTCTACGATGGCGGGTGAGGCACGGAGATGCCGTAGTGGGTTCGGCGAAACTGCGCAGAAGAGACTGTCAGCCACCCCAAATTCAACAGGAGCCGTCGCAAGAAGCATGTGGGGCGGGGGTTACCTAGCTAGCCGATAGATTTATGTTGATATGCTCACAAGTATTTTCAGTGGATGCTTGTTCAAACCGAAATGACATGGCCGAGTCTTGAAACATGTCTACCCCGAAACACCACAACTTTCCGCGCTCGCAGGGTGGACTGGCGCCGATCCTCCAACCTCGACGCTGCGTTCGCGGCTTCGGCGTTAGCGACAGGGCTTGATTCCGTACCCCTCGCGGAGACGTTCCGGTACGAGGTCGACCCTACTTGCGGCGGCATCCTGGGCTCGGGGCCGGCGACGGGATCCTTGGACCTCGGCAGGAGAGCAGAGTCGAGCGGCATGACGGGGGGCGCCGTGCATTCGGCAACCGCCACCATCACCACCACCACCACTCGTGCTGAGTTATCATTATCGTCCTCATTGTCGGTTCAGGAGGAAGAGCTGTACTCGCCGGTTGCTCTGTCTTTCGTGTCGCCGGTTCTCGAGGTCAAGTGGCCGGTCGGCGTGCTTCTGCCGACGGGGGTGCTCCACACCTACGGAAGCATTCACCGGTCGCTGATCCGGCACCAGCTGGCGCTGCACCGTTTAAGGCGGTTGCGCCTTGTGTTGAGGGAGCTGGATGCGTGCTTGGATGCGGCGAGCGGCGGTGGTATTGGTGGAGTTGGGGGGGGGGGGCGGAGAAGCGGCCGGGGTGGCGGTAGTGGTGGGGGCGACAGCAGCAGCGGGAGCAGCCGGCGGCAGCGGGGGGGGGCGAGAGTGTCATGGGACAGGGGGAGGCTCCATTGGTTGCACTTGTTCCGGCATGAGATGCAGCACATGGCCGACAGTCTGCAGGTGAATTATGTCCAGCAGCGGGAATTCCAGCAAGTTAGAACGCATCAGTTGAACACTGCTGTCGATGTTGATGTCTGTAGAAATGCGGTCACGGTGTGAGATGATGGGGGCGCTGAGTTGGTTTGAAACTTACTCTCTCGTACGAGTGCTCAGCTACTGCCGACGGTGGTGACAATTTCAGAAATATTGTCTCTTTACGAAATCGCCCACCCCTCAACAGCACTGGTATCCATCTTGAAGGAGTGCAATGACAGACTTGTTTTTTGTGGAGGAAGTCAGCGGCTCTAGTTATCCCCCACCCTATCCTGGACCATTAGTGGTTCGTATTCGTCACCCACGCCGCTGAACACTCGTTTTCGCAGCTCTACGCGCGTGACCCCGTCCCCGCCCACCCACCCTCGCACCCTCACACCCCAACACACGCCGAACAGTCCTACTTCGCAGAACAGGCGGAGGCAGACTGGCCAGATCTCCGCCGGTCGCTCGCCGTCGCGGGAGGAGGGGCGGCTAGAGGTGGAGGGGGGGGTCTTGCGGCTCTCGTGGCCGCTCACTCGCGCTACATCACCAAAATGCAGCGCTACATGTTCCTCGGGACGGATAGGCAGGGCGCGGTCGCGCGCGGTAGCATCGGAGAGTTCTACGCAGTGATTTGCACCGTCGGGAGGATCACCGACGGTCTGCTTTCTTCAAAGCCTTCGCGGTCTCCCCCCGCTTCAGTCGCGGACCTTAGTAATGGTACCTGCACCGGCAGTGCTGTTGGGGAGATGGTTCTGCCTGACGAGGCTTTCGCAGAGTTGGCGGCCGTCAGAGAAAAGTTCGACGCCGCGAGGCGAGGACTTTGCGCGGCCCTTTCGGAGATTTGCGCGGCGGGCGGCGGGACTCGGGCCAGGCCGCTCCTTTCCGTCATTGGGTATGGCGGGTACGGGGGCGACGATTTTGTTGTTGCCGCTGATTTGTCGCGATAGTTGCACCAGAGTCGGCGTTCAATATATCGGGCTAGTAGGTGCCAGGAAGACGTGATGTGAGGTCGCGGCGAGGTTGTGGTACAAGCCTATTTGAGCCCGGAATTTCCTGCCCAGACTTGTAGAATCGACGTTGCAGAGGAAATGTGAGCAGGCCAATCGTCTGTTTTTGCACGACGGCATTGGGGCGTCGCCGGGCCTCCCCCAAGGCGGAAGGTCATTGAGATGGTGCCGACGGCTTGCCAGGAACACAACTCTCCCACATATTGTAGATTGCGGTCTCCTTCCTGGGTGATCTAGCCCAACATCACAATGTCGGCAGCGGTGGTTGTCGACGTCGTTCTACACGTGTGCGCAGCTAAAGAATGTGGTACGGCATATCGGCACCGTAAATACACAGGCAGGCGCCCGAACGGGAAGGATTGGCCTCGACCTATGCAGGGCGCCCGTCGGTAACCGCGTTAGATCGAAAACGAAACTTGAGAGCGTGCTTGAACGCCCAGCACAGCACAAATGCTTTTCCGCTACCAGTCAGCATAGGGTCTTGTCCCACAGCCATCCCTCTACATGGACAAAATCAACCAAAATCACGTAATTACGGGCAAGTCCCCGCGCTGCAAAATACACAAAACAAAAAACTCCAGTCCACTATCCAATAAACTCATTCCTCTCCCGCTGGTGGCTCTTTACTTCGGAGCAACTGTTCCATGGCAACGGCGGAACCGTCGTTGGCGTTGGTCGGTGCCATGAAACGGGCGGCTGCCCTGGCGGGGGGAGACGCGTTTCCGACGCACACGCCGACACCCGCGAGACGCAACATCTCAACGTCGTTCTCTGCGTCTCCTGCCAACGAAAAAATGGGGGTGAACGGGGGGGTGGGGGAAGGGAGACAAAAACATGGGCCACTTGAACAGTCTTGAGGTGAATATTCATTCAATGACGCTTGACGTGTACGGGTGAAAGCAACGAAAGCTACCTCGGAGTCTGCATGGGTGACGAAATCTAGCGTTGAGATTGGGCTCTCAGTTAGAGGTTTGAAGCCCAACAAGAAATCAACTATGATTCACGGATCCATTTCTACCAGCAAAAGATTCCCTCCAATTTAGTCTCGGGATGTTCTTGCGCTTCACGGGATGTCAAATTGTTCTTTCGTACCTTGGTCTTAAGAGACATTTCTTCCGGAAAAATCAACTAAAACACTACAGACGTGAACTGGCTAGCGCCAAGGCGGATGGTGCTTGTTGGGCTCATGAAACCGTCAGTCAGGCGTTCCTTCAATCGAATCGCAAACGCTACAGCCGAGGAAAATGCCTTTCTTGTCAAGCAAGATACGGACAACGCTATCTCGACTACCACATGTGTGATCTTGCCGCAAAAGACGCGAGCTTATCTCCCTGCTCTCTCTACTTGTTTGTCGTTCGCCAATGTCCTCTCTCATCGGTTTGATCGCGACCTCGGCGGATTTGACGCACCTAATGCCATCAAACGAACCGGGTCGATCCCAAGGTGTTTCAGAAGCACGTCCACACCATGTCCCTTTGATGCCCCCGCCGGCAAAACCTCTAGCATGTCCGGGAGAGCCTGAAGATGATCCGCAACAACGAGCACAGGGCACCGAAACATTCGCGAAGATAGCTGAGTGCGACGCTTGATGAAGCAGGTCGTGTACTGCGATCGAAATCGGGATGCACTTGAAGGACCCGCGTTTCGCTGGAGACGAGTTTCGTCACTTGCTGCAATATCGGTTGCATTCCTGAAAGATCCGTGGTTCGCCCGAGACGAGTGTCTATCATGTGTTGTGATCCTCACGCGACCTACTATAGTACGGTATACGTGCATTGGCAGTAACGGAGGAGTTCGTTATGGATTGTGCGATGTCACAAAAAGCCCTGTACTGATATACACGCGTCGTTTCAAAAGATGCACGATCGACGTGGTGCTATCGGAAAAATCTGACCTCTTCCGAAAGCATCATCTGCTACTGCTGGAACATGCCGCCGTTGCAGCATCGTGGTTTCTCCTTTCCAATGAACATATCGTACATATCCCACTCTCCTCGTTCTCCCGCACCGCACCTGCGTGAAGGTTGCTCGGTCACCGATCAACCGCTCGATATCCGGCCGGACTCGATCGATCGCCTCCTTGGAGTCCATGAGGATGAGCTTGTGGACTCGAAGACCGGCAGCCATAGCGTCCGTCAGAGGGCCGACGGCGGACGGCATGGGCTCGGAGTAGAGGGCTATCTTGTCTGTTTCGGCGTCCTTCACGGAGCACACCTGCACGTGGGAGAAACACGCTCGAGCGTCAGACAGCCCAGGTGCAGCTTTGACTGTTGCGTAGGCGTACAAAGTCGTGCAGCTCGATCTGCATGTACGCATGAAAGTAGAGATGAACAATTGCACGACACCAAAGGAGCGAACACCACCCACTGGTGGGGCAGCGCGGCCTCACGCGCCAGCAAGAATTTGCCCGTAATCCAGTTGGTGCTGCAGGAGCTTAAGAACGCGGTTCTGACACCAGCAAGCTTACCATTTCGAGCGTGTGGTATCAATATCTTCAAGTAGTAAAAGAAGATCAAATGGTTCGTCACCTCTTCACACACTCACAATTTCGTCGCCGCTGTAAGCAATCAGCGACACCCCCCTTTCCTCGCAGAAACTGGCCACCTGTGAGACAATCTCAACGTCCAGCAGCCGCTCGTACAACACCTCGTCGCCGGCGCCGGAGTAGACAACCAAACCTTGAATAAAAACCCCTGGGGTATCCTTCGTCTTCAGATGTGCGGCGATGTCTTCTCCCAAGATCTTGTACATCCCGGTGCGGGTCTGCTCCAAGTTTCGAAGGTGTGGGGTATGGATGGGGTTGGGCAGGGTTGGGCTAGAGTCGAACCGGTTGGCGCACGTTTGACGACCACGGATTTCTGATCGACCCATGAATGTTTTCACATTTTCTCAATAACTTGAATCTCGGGATGCCCGGTGAATTGCGTGGAGATACCGTCTAGCGGTTTGCGGGCGCGAGGGTTGCATTTGGTTGACGCAAACATGAACACACATGCCATCAGAAATAGGTAGCTCTCCCGGTCGGTCGATTGATCCACATCAGGGGCAGGATGTCAAAAACCGCACCGAGATCGTAGATGCGGGACAAATCTGAACCCTGTGCGTAAGAACACAAGTGCTACACTGGGGCGGGGTGTCCCTTCTCAAACTGTCTGGCAGGTGGCAGGAGTTGTTTACGTGTCTTTTTGAACTACTGCTTGTAAATGCTGCTGTAGCATCGGCCGCTGCACGCATGTGTGTACCAGATGCTGTACGCCAGTTGTACAAGTTGACTTGCCTTGCCCGTGGCGGGGAAGAACGCGAGTTCAGAGTTCAGGACCGCCTTGATAGCATCTTTCGTGCGAGGAGTGACAGTCACCTCCGGCGTGGTAAGGGTTCCGTCCACATCGCTCGCAACGGCCTCAACAGTGGCCAAAAGAGAGGCAGGTGCATCCGCTAGCTGTCGTGGCTCACGATTTGAAGCTGCCGCTGATGCTGATGCTGCTGCTGCTGATGATGATGCGACCGATTGTGGGGCGTGTCCCCCTGAACCACCCCCCCGCGTTGTCCATCCGAAGGAAGCCGGACGATGGTGAAGGCGGTGGTGGTAGTACGTCCCGCGTTGGACGCCACGAACTGCCGTTGACGACACTGCCCCGCTGCTCGGGAGCAAGCGGAGACATACGAACCCTTTTACAACCTGGCTGATCATGCCCAAAACGTGCTGACTTCACCTACTTTTGAGCAGAAACGCAACGCACGCTAGCACTGGAAGGAGTAGCGTGTCAGATCGACGGAAATTGGTTTCAAGGCCTGCCACGTAGTGCGTCTGCTACGCACAAGTTGAACAGGCAGCAGCGGTGCCCTCGACAGGGGGGCTCCGGCGGTGGTGGGCGCGGGACTGTTGGGAACGTTCCGCGAATCGTTTCGTCAACAAATCGAACGATGTAGGACAGTGTAGTCCGCACGCCCGCAGTCCGCAGCATCAAGGGCCAACACATGTAGGGCGTGGGGGCGGACGCTGACTCGCTACAACCTCTGCTTAAATTCCCCTTGGTACACGTGTTCGGCTAGCATTCATTGAAGCACAACGACAACTTTCTGAAAATCTTGGGCCCGCTTTCATTGTGGCCTTCCTCGAGGAAGGCGATTTTCGTTGTGCGACAGGTCTGACTACAATTTTTATCGCTGGGAGCACTTTTCGGCGACATACATGATTAGTACACATTGCCGCCTAGTCTGTCGTTCAAAATGTACAAATGGAATCGAATCAATGCCTAAAGTTGTAAAATTGGTCAAAAGAGGAGTTTCCGTCAAGATTTCGACGGCTTATGTACAACTCCCAAATTTGCCTCCCCGGGAATCCCTACCGGTCGGGCCCCTGGCGGAGGGGCGCACATTGCCTGTGCGGTACTTCCGACCCTGCTCCGCGGGCCCCGCCTGACTGTTGTCGCGTGTCCGGAGACGTCCTTTGTTTTACGCTTCTGTGTCAATGACGTTCGTTCATAGAACGGCACCACTGCATAGTGACATAGTGACACACGCTTGGGGCGGTTCCCGACTCACACCGAACATCTCGTGAGATCCACGGAATAGCACAAGAGAATCCGAACACGATCGCTGACTGGTGGTCTAGTGTCCGGGGCTGACTATGTAGTGGTGGTCATCGTGCATTTCAACACGAAGGAAGAGGCGGTATTCTTGCATAGGCCCTCTGCTTGTACCATTTTACTCTCTCAGGCCTTGAAAGCACAAATTAGGCAACCTTCTGGAGGTGAAGCAAGCTGACTCATTTGAAATGAATCTCATCGTTCATGTGCTAACAAACATCGACGCCCGTAGGCACCCCCCAGCAATGAGCTGCCCTACTCGGTGCGACTAACACCACCTAAGACCTACATGCACATTAGATTGGCATGTGCTGTTTACAAAACCTCTATCGACCCCACCAAAACCTGTTCATTTACGAAGCCTTACTTGACCTCCAAGCATCGACGGTACAGACACTGACGCCGCCCGCTCCGAACAAGCACGGCGAGAGTCCCACCAAGAATTGGCATGAACCATAGTCGCTTGAGCTCCACCGTGAGGCTGATCTCTCCCCCAATCGGACTACACACATGACATCAATGCTTCATGAACCCGATCTGGGGCCAATGGGGAAGAAGCAACACCTCGGCCGAAGCCAGCGGGAGGAGCTCTATAAACGCTCGTGCTATTGCTCGTACAAATGCTCGTTCAAGTAATCAGCTATCGAGTCCACCTTCCACCGCTTGATGCTGTGCAACAGGTTCCACGAGGCGGAAAGGGGGGCGAAACAAGGGGCAAGGGACAAACAGAGGGTCAACAGGGTTATGCACGGCCACCGGACGGAAGCTGTGGTGTTATTCTGTCATAGAGAAGCTGATGTCTTTCGGAAGGGCCCGCAGTTTTCTGATTGGCAATCACTAACCTAGAGTTGAAATACTTCAAGTGCACATTAATCCAAAAGTAAAGCATCGGCAAGATTACACGCCCTGGGGCAAAGGATATAGGCGATGAGGAGGTGGCACATCTCTGCATCACTCATGAGTAATGATTTCGAGCACCGCCCAGCCGACTCTAGAGGCAAATCGACGTCAGGACAAATCCCCCCAAACGATTCGCGTGGTGGTTGGTGCCCTGTAGGCAGCTGTTGAGAATGGCCCACACTAGATGGTCATTTTTTCGCAACACGGCACGACCACTGCGTCTCTCGAGCAGTCACAACTATACGCGCGCCGCCGACACGGTATGGGCTAGAAAAATGACGGGAGCGAGCTCACTTGATAACGTCGACGTCATCAGCATCCGCTCCTTTCTCCGACATGAGCAACACGGTCTTCGCGTACAGCGTTGGCTGTTTGAAGGCAGGGGGGCGGTGACGGGCGGCGGAGCGACGGCGGGGGCGACGACGGAAAGGCGGCGCAAGCAATTCGTCTAAGCTATGGGCATGGAAACTCGCGTAATCAAGTTCAGAGCGCGATGGTAGGACAAGGATCCTATGCCCCCTGCTGCCGAGCGAAAGAAAGCACCGAGCTACGGTTCTCACCGGAACGCGTACAGGCCAAAATGGTGGTGTACCAACCGCCTTGAGCCGCCTTACAAAAGTTCCATAAACGCGAAATCTGCGTCCCACTGGCCCTGGTGGTCAACCCCAGAGAAAAAACGGCATCACGGCTCGCACACGTGTGCGTTGCAGATACCGCACACGGGGCATGGCCAGCCCAAGGCCCCAACAAGAAGACCGAGGTCGATCTAAACCAAGATGTCCCCAAAACACGTTGCTAGTGTAGTTCAGTGAGCCTCGGTAATCTACGACTCCGATCGATCGCTACGAGGTGATCATGACTTGTTCCAAACGGACAACACTGCTGGATGCTTGGAAAGGCAAACATACATGGGTGGCAGCATACCTCGAGCTCCAGGGCGGGGTGATCGGCGGCTCTGTCGTTGACAAAACCTCGAAGCTCAGGGTCGGCGCTAAGCCATCTTGGATCGTACACCAACTTCGCCGAGGCGTACTGAAGAGGGCGGGGCGGAGGGGGGTGCGAGCCGTGTGAGAGCCGCTGATGCAGCAAAGTGAGGACGTGAAAAGCCTCTGGGCGTTGATCGTACCTAGAGCTGTGAGTGCGTTGAGTCTACTGTAGTCAGAACCTGTTGGGTACTCTTAAGACTGTACTTGGGCGGACTTCGACACCTTCGAAAACCCCATGTGAAGTGATCAATGGGTCAGGCTTGTCGGGTTTCAAGGGCCTCACCTTTTTCGAAGAGCTTTTCGCCTCCTGGCAGCATTGCAGACACTCCTCTGTTAGACCTGTTGCCGTGGTTAGGAACGGGATAAGAGAGAGATGTTTGGACACGAAAAGTAGCACACGTGCCTGTGGGTGGACTAATCTGAGTACAACTAACCGCCGTTGTATCGCAACGAAGTCAAGAACGCTCTAGTCACCACGCTGCGTATATCATCCTTGGACGGCTGGTGGAACTGCTAAACATCCTCTGGTGTACATGGTCGGCTTGCCCGCGTGTGTACGCATGTATCCACAGCCGCAGTAAACGAACAACTGCTGCAGTTCGTCTAGCCTACGGACCCTTAACCCTCCTATTATAGTACTGGAAGCCCAAATGGGGACACTTTCGGGGACGCTTCGGGACACAGCAGTCAAGTACCTATTTACCGCACTGTAGTCACCCTAGGCTCCGCTGAATGCAACGTACGTGAGAACCCTTGGTCTATCATGGTTGGCTGAGGTGGTACGCTTTGTGGTATGCTGTGTGATGCCTCTCCTGGGCCTCTGACTTGCTGTACACACCTCCCAACCCGTGTGCCCCCCAGTTTGCAAAACTGTACATCGCTTGGTACTGGAAAATTTGCTGACTTGGCTTCAGTATGAAAAGTGTCTCCACGTGTTTTGGGGACACTTTTCATACTGAAGCCAAGTCACCCTTTGTCTGGCAAGGAGCTCAGATTCTTTGGAGGGACTGTAGCCCCTCGACCAATGACTGACAACATTTTTTCGGCATTGTGTTTTGCTCAAGAAATTTGGATTATTAGAAAAAGCGACAAGAAATCAGAAACGCCGAAACCAAGAAATATCAAAACCAAAATCCAACCTATGAGCCGAACCATTGACTTCCTCTCGGACCCACTAGGTATCACTTATCGGGCCAACCCGACGTCTATGCCCAGGTCATATCCCATTGCGCGGCCCGATATTCGGCGCTCTTGTCCAGGCTATTTCTCCCCTTCACCTAGACGCTAGTGCGCGCGATACATAATTAGCGCCTTCGCCTCCTGCCCTAGCAACCGTCATAGGCTCCTGACTTCCACCTCCCCGCCCACTGAATCTGAATAACCGATGCGCCCTGCTTTGCTAGTTGCGTCGCACCACCTATCCTCCCTGAATGCAGCGCGAAGTGCGTTGGGTTTTCTCCTACTCTTCTCGCCATGTCTCTCAGCGCTGTTGTTGCTTCCGACCTCGACACTACTGCCCACCGTCCCTGCTTGACCGACTGCATGAGCGGCGCGGTACTTCCTAACTCTGGGTGCACGTCAAGCAGATTCAGCAAATCTCTAGCGCCCCCATCTTCTCAGCCATCTGTCCCACTTCCTCGTCCCGCAGTACTCTCTCTCTCGTCACTACCGCGCCTCGCCTCTTTTGGTCCGCTTTCGATATGTACGCCAAAAGTCACTTCTACTCTGTCTGCCCGCTCGCCTTCTTTCGTCCCACGTCAGTCGACACGATCCTTCGAAGAATACGCGGTTCGCTCTCGCGAGACAAAAATCGGCGTGTACTAAGCCGTTGTGGTAGGCCCACAGCTCAGACGCTCGGCACAGCAAGAAATACGAGAGAGCGATCTCCATCCACGTCACTAGTCTGAAAGCATCCGTCTGCGCTCTTTCTCCCCCCGCTATAGTCATCGGCACGGTGAGCGGTGGCCTTACCAACGGTTTCGTCTCTGCCCTCGCATGCAGTCTGTCTATTGCGTTCCCAACAGCTACCACTCTGAAGTGCGACGTGGGCAGCTCCCAGCCTGCGTACAGTTTATGGAAGTACTTGATAGCCGCGAGGTACCCCTTCACCGTTTGGCTCTGGTTCTTGTACACTTAACACCTCGACGCCATAAACACAGTCAGCTCTCTCACTGCGCTATCCACACCGTCCTCCTCGTACAACCATGGACTCAGATTCGCTTTAGCTCTTTCAGCTGTCCACGTGCCCCACTTGCTGTGGTATCCCTTCAGCGTGCTCGCGTTCAGGGAGCCGTGCTCCATGATCCTGAGGAGCCGTTCGCTTCCTGTACTTGAACACATTAGAGTCATTACACCTCCTTTAGTTCTTTTGCTCATCATTCTCTTCTTTCTCTTATCACTTCTTCTCTTTACACGCTTGCCATGCGGCTCCATACGAGGCCATCCATTCTTTGGTTCTGGAGTTTCTCTGGCAGTATCATTTCAATTAGTTCTTTTCCGGTGTCTCCGATGGCTTGCATTCGCCAGTTATCATCATGCGTGAGTCTTTCCACATTGACTTCTACGTCCTCTGACTTCCATCTAGATATCCCGTCCGCGAGGGTGTTCTCGCGTCCTGGGATATGTTTCGCCACGTGACACCATCCGTTTTCAATCTCCATGCGACCAAGCCGTCTCATGAGCAGTCCCGCTCGCCTGTCTCTCGAGCCCCCGCATCTGTTCACCCATGATACCGCCGACACATTGTCTCCCCTCATCATGATTGCTTGTCCGTGTTGCGTCGGCTTTTCTCCCACGACCATTTGGACCACCCAGCATGTAATTATCATTCCGAGCAATTCTAGCATGTTGATCGTGATTGCGCTGGTTTCATTGGCTTCTGCTTTCCTTTTCAGCTCCGCGGTAAACGCGGGTTTAAATCGATACCGCCAGAACACTTTTAGTTCGGGACAGTGTCCGCCTACTGCGTCGAAGCTAGCATCCGATAGGTAGTGACGGAAAGGCGTGCGTTGGACGTGGTTAAAGAAAAACGCGCTAAGTGACTCTCCTTTCTCCGCGAGTTTAACTTCCAGCGACCATCTTCAGAAGTCTAGGTCTCCGTGGAACTCCCAACCGAGACGTACCTGCCTCTTCTCTCTCGACTGTCTGTTAGTCTTGTCGTGTAGGCCGATGAGGTGTAAGAGGTGCCATACGAAATATTTCCCCACCCTCATGACATATGTCAGGTTCCAGAGTTTTCCCGCCATACTCAGGGGGTCTTGCACACTGGCGAATTCTCTGGTCTGTGGCCAATCGTTCTCTAGCGCGGTCCTTATCGCGTCGATCCTCTCACGTGTTGTCGCGATCGTCATTTTATGGGTGTCTATCGTGTGTCCGAGAAAGTCCACTTTCGTGTCCCAGTCTGTGCTTTTCTTCGGGGCGAGAATGGGCGCTTGGCCCGCCTCTGCTGGCCCGAAGAGTCTCACACAGTCAGACGCTAATGACGCGGAGGCTGCCAGCGCTGAAGCGTCGTCTGGCGCATGTTGTACTTTCAGTAAAGCGAAATCGTCTACGTACACCCCGCACGAGAAATCATCGCGTGGTCCGCCTCCGTCATGCGGTTTCACGTTGGCATCTCGGGGCACTCGGGCGGGTGGTCCGTCTTCCCACGGCTCGACTATTTTTACATGTGACATCATTTCGATCCCTTTATCTACTAGTTGTACGTTGTGTACGTTGGTGTTGAGGTGTGAGTGTTCAGCAGCGGACGCCATGACTCCCCAAAAACCGGGCGAACCTGCCCATCCAAACGTCAGTCTGAAGTCGGCGACTAGTACGTCTCCTATCACATTGCAGAATTTTTGTGCATCGTCTGGCGCAACTCTCACGTTTCGGTAAGCGTTGTTCACGTCCGCCGTGGACACTAGTATCCTCTTGTCAGGCCATTTGACTCTCAAGCGCGTTATTTCAGAAAGAGAGCAGGTAGGGTCTCTCCGCACAAACAGTCGAGTACATCTTCTGTTACCGTATCCACGTTGACTCCTCCCTTCTGTCCGCGTAGTAGTTTGGGGTCAAAAGAAAAATCGTTCAAGACTCTGATTTTTTTTCCTACCACAGCTCCTAGCGGCGATACGCGAACGCCCTTCATGCGAGCTGCGTCCGATACGTTGAATACGAGGCATCTGTTCTGTTCGACGTCGTCTATCAGCTTCTTCCACACCAGTTCCGTGTGGGCGTCTATCGTACTGTGATTTCTGTATCGGAGAGCGCTCTCGAGGTTAGGCGGGCTGTCGTGCGTTTTCGCTGGCACACCGTTGTCTACGATGTCTATGAGATTCGCTAAGTCTGGGTGTTTTTTAGTTCCGAAGTGTTGTTCGAGGTCGCTCAGGTTTAGCGGCGGTGACACCAAGGTGCCGCCGATTGCCCTCGCGACATCTCCCAACTTTCCGTCGTTCGTTTTCAGAAGCATGCCACCAGTCTTCGCAAGTTCGTGAATGACTTCCTGTTTTTCGTCAAGTCGTGTACCACGTGCTAGGCATTCCTTTTGTTATCTCCACATTTCAGCCAGTAGCTTCCCATAAGGAGGTGGCAAGGCTGCCGACCCGTCACTGTCCGTGTCCCTCTTGCCGTAGGGGTGTTTGTCTCCAGCACCCGCAGTACCAGCAGCAACAGCAGCCTGGCCACGTCCCCCCTGGCGGCCTTCATCAGCAAGGCCAGCCCCAGCCCATCAATCTCCCGTTAGGTGGCCAGCTCGTGCTACAGCCCCAGCAAGCGCAAGCTCTGGGCCCAAACATTAACGTGTCAAACCAGGCCCTCAACACCCATGTACAGAAAGAGAGGTTTCGCCGAGATACGAAGACATGGGGAGACGAGCCCGCGGCGACGCTGCTTCTGCTGCGCGGCGGATGGTTCGTTAGCACCACGCTGTCAAGCGATCATGGCGAAACCTCTCCTTCTCGACATGGGTGT